AAAAACAGTACTACAGAATTTTAAGACCCATATTAATCCCAACTCATTAATAGTAGGGGATTTCAATACCCCATTGTCACCATTAGATATGTCAACAGGACAGAGAGTTAACAGAGACATCTGAATTAAGCAATACCATATATCAAAATGGACCTAACTGACATCTACCAAATATTCCACCCAAGCGCCAAAGAATATACTTTCTACTCAGCACCCCTTGGAACCTTCTCCAAAATCGACCATGTACTGGGGCACAAAACAAACCTCAACAAATACAAAAAGATTGAAATAATTCCATACATTCTATCAGAGCACAATGCAATAAAGCTTAAAGTCAACAGCAGAAGCAACCCCAGTAACCACATGAACACATGAGATTAAACAACACACTCCTGAATGATGAATGGGTCAAAGGAGAAATTAAGAAGGAAATAAAAGTATTCCTGGAACTAAACGAAAAGGACAATACAACACAAAACCTCTGGGACACATTCAAAGCTGTCCTTAGAGGGAAGTTTATAGCTCTAAGTGCCTACATTAAAAAACCGGAAAGTACACAAATAAATGACTTAGCATTACAACTCAAGACACTTGAAAACCAACAACAAATGAAACCCAAACCCAGCAGACAAGAAGAAATAACAAAAATCAGAGCAGAAATAAATGAAATAGAAACAAAGAAAACAATACAAAGAATCAATGAATCCAAGAGTTGGTTCTTTGAGAAGATAAACAAGACAGACTGCTAGCCCAGTTAACCAAAAGAAAGAAAGAGCACCTCCAAGTCAACAAAATCAGAGATGAAAGGGGAAACCTCACAATAGACACCAAAGAGATTCAGAACATTATAAGGGAATACTTTAAAAGCCTATATGCTACTAAATTTGAAAACCTAAAACAAATGGATGGATACCTAAAAGCATGGGAATGATCAAAACTAAACCAAGAAGAGATTAACAGCTTAAACAGACCCATAACACATAAAGGAAATTGAAATAGTAATACAAAACCTCCCGACTAAAGCCCAGGACCAGATGGATTTACAGCAGAATTCTACCAGACAGTTAAAAAGGATCTACATCCAATACTGCTTGTTATTCAAAAAGATAGAAATGGAGGGAAAACTTCCAAATTCCTTCTATGAAGCCAGCGTCACTCTACTACCAAAGCCAGGTAAAGATTCAACCGAAACAAAAAAACTATAGACCCATATCCTTAATGAACACAGATGGAAAAATTCTCAACAAAATACTTACAAACTGCATACAGACACACATCGAAAAGATCATCCACCATGATCAAGTTGGCTTTATTCCAGAGACGCAGGGATGGTTCAATATACGTAAGTCAATAAATGTCATAAATCACATAAATGGGCTCAATGACAAGAACCAC